AACAAATACTCAATATATTCATGGACAAATCTTTATTTTATTAAAAATATTTCACTAAGAAATACGAGTTTTTGTATATGAAAGACTACCAAATTTCGTGAAGATGTATTCACTATATTCAGAGTTATATGTATTAAGTCTACAAAGGCTTTAAACAAGTACAAAAAGGTCACGTGGTCAGTCAAATTGACCGAGCCCTATACTAAAAGTATTAATATATATTTTAATTGCTATATGTTGAGGAAAGTAGCTTAAAATAGAAAGAGAAAACAAGGTTGCAATTATATGGACGAAACAAAAACAGTATAGTGCTAGCAAAAAATAAGGGGAGGAGGAGTTCAAAGCCATAGGAAGCAATTTAGGAGTGGTCAGGCCATTGCCACAGTTAAACAATGTGACACAAGATGCATGTAAAGCATGCCAGTTTCTAGGGGGTTCTGGAGGTATGCCCCCCAGAAAATTTAATGCTATGAGGTTGAATCTTGGGCCATTTTAACTACAAATACCACATACACACAACATAATGTATTGAATTAAAATAAGCAAGTTTTAATACACAAGTTGTAGCTATACATGCCATGAAAAAGTGGTGAAGACATGGCCTGACTGGCCTTATTGCTTCCTATGGCCCTACAGTTGATCAAATCAACTATACACTCACAAGGCACTGTAAAAAGACAGGCAGTACCAAGAAAAGAATGAACCAATGATCATGTGCTAGTACTCATGTTGTTATCCTATTGGTGGAAGGCTACAGCATTTTGTAGATTATGTCATAGGCTGTTGTGATACACAGACACACATATAAGGATGGGAGTTTGTTCAGGGCTTGTGGCATGCACACGGCAGTTGAGCGACAGGTGATAGCTCTTAGTGGTGCAGAGAGGTATGTAGTGTTTCTGAATTATGATTTCTGTTACGAGTCAGAAGATTTCCTGTAACAAAATATCATCAATAAAAAAACAAAATGTCTTATATCTAAAATTACCACTGTTGTTTCAAGGAAACCACACTTGTACTCAACTATACAACTGTTTTTTCACGGAAACAACACTTTCTTTCATCTATGTGATCATTTTTCTCAATGGTAAAACACTTTCTTTCATTGTATAATTATTTTTGACAGAGAAAAAAACAGTTTTTAGCAACAGTATACCGTAAATACTTTAACCAAGTATATACTATCAAACAAATCTCACCTTCAGGGTCTGACCATAGGAGATCACACATGGGACCATCATGTGGTACTTCTTGCTTTCGGTCTATTGTTCGAATCTGATCCAGGGTAGTTATGGAAGGGGAAAGACCTCCATGAACACAGAATATCTGCAGACAGAACAGTTTGGAATTGCTAATGACAGAAACTACAATTATATATAAATATATTTATTTTACGTAGAATACAGAAAAAATGTGATTCACTGATTAAGTTTAGAACTTTTCTAGGACTTTATGAATAAGTACACAATTTAGAATGTTTGCATTATTTTTACCTATAGCTTCTACTTTCTTCTTTTAAACACCAAACTGTTTATTTACAAGCACAGACAAAAGATAACACTCAGTTATGCTTCCCAAATGTTATTTTTAACATACATGATCTTACAGGTAAAACTGCAGTATAGTTTTAAAAAAAGTGTCAAAACCTGAGAGTATAAAACCAACACACTAAACTTTAGACATTACTTTATATTTCATGATTCCAAAATGTTGTTAAAAATATGGTATTGGTTAATTCATTGAAACAAAACAAACACAGAAAAAAACGGTGGTCACTTTTTTTAATATTTTTATTTCTAAAAATTTGTAATTGTTAATCATAAAACAGAAACTTGTTTTCATAATAGCATGCCTTGTGTTAATGTATACAAACTCAAAGAAACCAGTGGAATACTACAGTTTTATTTGAATATATGGAAATTTGTTAGTTTTCGTAAAGTAAACATTGAGTTGTAATACAGCAGACTATTAAACATATTTCTAAAAGGTACCAAAGAAAAATACATGAAATAGATAGTAAGAGTGACATCCACTTTTTCAGACTATAACTAGTAGCTTTGAGGTATTTTGATAAAACAGAGTTCCTTTGTAATACATTAAAACTCATACATATATACTGTCTGAAAAATTACCATATCTTTCAACACTGAACTTTTCAAACATTACAAGCCTATTATGTTGAAGAATACCGTTTACATTATTTGTATTTTTTTAATACTCTACATATGTTGTGGATATTAATTGAATGTTAAATAAATATCTGGAATAATATCAAAAACTCAAACTAATAACTCACTTTCCCATCAATGATGGCAGACAGACTCAAATAATCAAATATTTCAGTACAGTATCTCCAGACTGTGATTGAGCCATACTTTCGTAGACATTCATCGTAAAACCCATAGACTTGGGTAATCTGCCGGCTTTCGTGATTGCCTCTGATCAGAGTAATCCTATCAGGGTACCTAACCTAATACACAGCAAATATTTCATACTATAGATTCTCTGGTTTTTTTTGTTTATGTGTACTTACTTGACTCTACAATACAAAAAAAAAGCCTAAACTTACTAGCTAATGCCACAATAAATGTAGGAACTTTAAACAAATCTGCCACACACATACATCTTCATCTCACTAAGTACACTAATTAGTCAAGTTTGGAGGAAAGACATGCCAGCTTTAATTTTGGAGTATTAAAGTATTTTTAGTTGTTGTTATTGTTGAATACTTTTTCAGTACAGAAATCATGTAAGATAATTTGCTGTAGAGAACCTAGATAAAATACTATCTTTTTATCTATACCCAAGATATACACAATGAATTTTACTTCTGTTCAGAAGTTTACAAGATATCTATCAATACCTCTGTAGTAGAAAAATTAAAGTAATAAATAAGAAATCAAATTCTACCCAGTAGTTGTTAAAGTCATACTTGTATATTGAAGCTATACAAAAAAAACTTTATTAAAAATGTTGTACATACAAGCTTTTTTAAATTAAATGTATTTTGATTAGCAGTTCAAACATATTCTGAGCCTGTCTGTTTTGTTTTCTATCCAATAAGTATAAATCTATTCTTTTTGGAATATTGATAAGCCAAGCAAAGTTTGGAGTTTCTCATAATTTCCTATTGAGTTTGAAATGTAATTACAGTCCAGTGGTGGGATTCAGCCAGTTCGCACCGGTTCGTGCGAACCTGT